TCTCCCTCTCCCTCTCTCTCTCCCTCTCCCTCTCTTTCTCTCTCCCTCTCCCTCTCCCTCTCTTTCTCTTTCTCTCTCTCTCTCTTTCGGTCGAACGAATTGGAGGACGACCAATCAGAATTGCAGTTCAACCCGATCGATGGTTGTGCTTGTGTCCGTTTTAATTAAAGCGAAAAACAAGGCCTACATATATGTACAGAGCCTCTCATAAAAAATATTTTGTATAGTTTAATGATGATTATTGCTAAACATAATGCATCGGACACAAAACACAAGTGAAATTACTATTACACCTTAACTATCTTACATTCTGCTTAATTATAATCTTACAATTATTGAAATTAACTAAAAAATTGCAGTGACATACGAATGTCTAAATAATGAAGTTAAAAAACTCATCTCTGAGATAAATCATACAGTACCTAAAAAATAAAACAAATATTTTTATTGTATATCTTGTTACACAAAAACTATTCCAAAAAACCAAGAAAATTTACAAAATTTTTCATATAGCTTATATCTTGAATTTTGTTTCTCGCTTGAGATATAAAATTAATTTATCAGAATAAAATATTTGCAAATTGTTTACCTGTATCATCAGTCTGATCTGTAGTGTCATCATCCTTATTTTCGTAAGGCATTGTTCTGTTGTTATCATCCACAAGTCTGCTTTCGCTAGTGTCGGTAGTGTTACTGGTGCAGGGCCATTTTCCAGAGGACGTGGACGATTTCCTCCTCTTTTTTCTCCGTTTCAGTGGATTGTACGAGTTGAGTGTCTTTGACAAACCATCACTCGGTGTTGGTATCGCTGATGCAGGAACTTCTTCTCCACTCTAGATATAGATATATACAATTTGATCATATATTACATAAAAAATATACTCCGTTTTTCTATTTAAGCCCAATGAGCTAGAGTGTATCAGAAATGTACCTCTGTTACTACAGTTGGCGGTGTTAATCCATGGATGCACAAGCAATGGGCAGCCTGAAGCAAGGAAGGCAACTGCGATGGCTCGACGCTTACCTCTCCCCGGTATACAAATTCTAACAAAGACTCCAAATCATCTGCTCCAATTCCTGCCAGCATGACCACTGGATGCTGGCATGGAGTGCTCTGTGAGTAAACATTTTATTGTAGTCAAATTCTATAAAATTCTCAAAATATGCATTCTTAATAGTCTTATCGAAATAATGACGCCACCTTGAGCAGATCCAAGAGGAACGGACTGGCTGCGCAGAGAACAATTTTATGCGCAGGAAAGCTGCGACCACCAGCAGCCAAGGTAACATCCACCAAATCGCCATGTCCTCTCAACAGCTGTACTGCAGAGACCAAAGAGGAACTGAATTCTCCCCACGAGAGACTGTACAGCTGGCTGCTGCTACCCATTCCGTATTGAATAGCTCAACTGTAAGCGAATATATTGATATAATTACTTAATTTTTCATTGTATACAACTTTCACACCGAAGACAAAATATATCATGTGTAAAGCATTCAATATCAGATTCAACAAAGCAATAATTATTATTTGCACAATTTTTGCATATTCTATCTCATTGTAGAACAAACCTAGAAACAGCTGATGAAATACAATGAATGAAATAAATACAGTAGTGAAGTTTCCCTTTAATTAAATAATATTTCAGGTAGAAAATAAATATTCAAACACAGATCTATCCCGAGAATACTCCAAGAAGACTGATACGAAGCAACACATGCACCGATAATCCGCTAGCTAACGGTAACGATGCGTGTGTGCTCGTCGTCTCCCCCATCCACCGTTCCTTAATTAGTGCCCCCACCCGATTGAGCGTCGCGGCGTCGTGCCGCGAGTTAACCTAACAACTGCAACGGCTACCTGTGACAACGTAGGCCTCTTGTCGCGGCGACGACGACGACGGTGATTATGATCACGATCGCGTTGATCTCTCCCAATTGGTAGTTTGCACGAAATTAGGTTGGAGAAAGTCGTGCTCGCGCACGGGTCACATAAGTCGAGAGTCCGAGCGGCTGCGGGATTCAAACCGCACGCAGGTTGTCAGGCGACGCGACGTCGTCCTCGGAAGGGGAGCATCGCACGGAGGCGGAAACGCGACGCCGCGATGATAGTCGCGGGATTCGTTTTGGGAGCTGCGGCGCCAGCACGCGACTTTGAAGGCGAGAGATTCAAACTGAGATTCAAACCCTGTCAGAAGCGATAGCGTATGCGTGTACATCAGTGTACGTATACGCACACGTATGTACGTATGACTGTACATACGTGCTACGTCACAGTGTGCTACGCGACAAGGCGCGGACGGCGGACGGCGGACGAAGGACGAACCGCGGAGGCAGCCGGAAGTTCATTGAAAGGGCGCGAATCATTCGATTGACGCGTATCGAGGAAATATTGTGAATTTTTTAGCTGTGTCTCACACAGCATGTGCATAATATTGCAGTAATATTACAGTGATATTACAATATTGCAGTAATATTAGAATAAGATTGAAATATTACGGAAATATTTTACTGAAATATTACTTTGCGATATATCACAAATGTAATATATTTTGTAATATTTATATTATATTGTAATAATATTATAATATTTATGCAATATTACTGATGATATATTGCCACGAAATATTAAGCAATATTGTAATATTATTACTATATTGCTGCAATATTAAAAATATTTTGCTCCATGGGATCCAATTGAAAACTTATTCAAGAGTCTATAATGAAATTAAATCAATAAATAAATTAAATCGTTTGTGAAAGGCTCATCGTTATTAATTTATGACATTGTTCCATATTGTTCTCTTTATATGGAAGTAATAAATTTGGAACACAAAAATATATCTCTCTCTGACCCCTCCCCCCTTCCCTCACTCTCTCTTTCTTTCTCTCTCTCCCCTCTCTCCCTTCCTCCCACCCTCCCCCTTCCCCCTCTCTCTCTCTTTTTCTCATATTATATTGTATATGATGTGTGTTGTGTAACATATAAAATAGCTGAACTAATAAAGATCTATCTTCTCTCTCCCTCTCTCTCTTATTTGACACAAAACAGCTGTACTACTTATAGATACTACCAGCAGAGAGAAGAATGAGAGTCGCCACGCTGCCGTTTTTCGTGTGAGAGAAAGGATTTTTAATAAAAATAGGCGGCAATAACCCGCGAGATAATATTCATAGACTTTTGAAAAAAAAACATTTACAAATAAATGCGCACTACATTGTTAATGGAAAGGAATAAGAAATAATTTCAGGCTGTCCGATCTATCATATATCTCATAAAAATTATGCAAAGTATGTTATAGAAAAATTAATGTAATATTAACTAAAATATTTTATTTTGTCCTAAGCCGAAAGGCAAGGTCCAAGCACAAATAAATAAAAAATAAATTTATATATATACATATGTGCGTATATATGTTTAAATTATAGTTAAAATTATACGTGCGATTAAATATTGTATGTTGATCAATAATAATAATAGAATAATAGGTAACAGAGTGAACAAATACGCAAGATGTAAGACAAAGGGTGCCTATTAGACTTGGTAACTTGTTGCTTCGTTACTATATAATATCGATGATACTTCGTATATCATATCAACGGGATAGAGAAATAGCACGATTGTCAATCCCTGTTTGACATTATTTTGTTAATGCAATTTACAAAAAAAAGACAAATACAAAAGTTATTTATTTATTAATTATAATATAATAGTGAATAATAAATAGCATTAAAAATATATTGATATTAATATATATTTTTGTACAATAATATAAAACCAGATATAACAAAATAAATTAATTTATAGAAATATAAAACATGATTAGTAGTAGAAAAAGTAAACAATAACTTACTTAACATAAACAATAACTAACTCTGAAATAAAATTGTATATAAGATTTTAATATAAACTGTAATATAGGTTCATAATTAAATTCTTTATATGAATATATAAAATGTAATATTTATTATATATTATATTTCTATATATTTTTATATATTATATTTTTATTTTGAATTTATATATGTATATATGCATTTATGCGTATAACAATTTACATATTAAAACAAAATGTCATACATTATATGCTACAATTTAAAGACAAATGAATCAAATGTGATAAAAAGAGATTAGATGTACATGTTAGATGTCAAAAAAATAATATTAATA